CCCAGCTCCATTGTCCTACAGTTAAGGCCAAGGGCTAGTTTTGCTGCTGGTTCCCACAGCTACTCCAGGCTAGTAAGAGTCACATGAGGGATGGTCCTGGGCTACATCAGCTGTGGCCTCTAGGTCTGTGCCTCTAGGTTTGTTTTCAGAGTCAGTGAATGTACTTGAAACACTCATGACAAATTGTCTGCAAGGCTGTGAAATAGGAATATTATTTGTTTCCTGTGTCATTTTTTTAAAAAAAAGTAGTTTGGTTCATCACTTTTCAAAAAGTGAGTGTATCAAAAGTATAATTGAATTTTAATATTATTAAACATTATTCAGTCATCCTTCTATGACAAAACACATTTCAGGATGTCTCAGATGTTCAGTGTTCTTGTTTGGAAAGGAGTTCTCATAATCTAGTCCTCTAAATATAAAGAAGAATGAAGGCTGAGCTAGATCTGTTCTGAGTTTATGGCATGTCTTTTATATGTGTAATATATTCTTTTTGTGTATATGGTACTGGGAGTTGAACCCCCAGGGTCCTCTCACATGCTGGGCAAGTGCTCTGCCTTTGAGCTACTGCTCAACCCTGTAATATACTTTCTAGTACTTCCCTGTACTGTCAAGTGTAACAGGTAGAAAATTACTCTGTAACAGAAAATTGAACTTATATGACAATTAAGAATAAAGTGTATCAATAACGTACCTGTATGTCTAGGAAACAGCATAACAAAATTCCCTTCTGTTTTTTGTTTTGTTTTGTTTTGTTTTGTTTGTCTTTTTGAGACAGGGTCTCCCTGTAGCCCCAGCTGGCCTGGAATGCACTATGTAGATCAGGCTGGCCTTGAACTCACAGAGATCTGCCTGCCCCTGCCCCTGCCCCTGCCCCTGCCTCGGATTAAAGGCATATGCCACCACATGTGGCCCTTATTCAGTATTTTCAACAATTTATATTAAATCATGATTCTTTTAAAATATTTTATATAGAGAGCTGGAGAGATGGCTCAGCCATTAAGAGCACTGACTGCTCTTGTAGAGAACCTGGGTTCAGTTCCCAGCACCCACACGGCAGCTAACAACTGTCTGTAACTCCAATACACATACACATAAAATGAAATAAATCAAATAATGTAAATTAAAATTTTTTAAATATTTATTTTTATTTTATGCATGTGAGTGTTTTGCCTGCATATTTGTTAAGTGCATCTGTGTTGTACATCTCTGTGAAGGTCAGAAGAGGGCATCAGATCCCCTGGAATGGCAGTTATGGAACTGGAGTTATGCATAGTTGTTAGCCACCATGTGGGTACTAGGAACCAAACCCAGGTCTTCTGGAAGAGTCGCTAGTGCTCTTAACCCCTGAGCCATCTATCCAGTCTCTAAATCATGAATCTTAAGAAGAAAAAAAAACTTCAGCTGGGCATGGTATGGTAGTGCAGAGGCAGGTGGAGCTCTGTTGAGTTCAAGATCAGCCAGGTCTACATAGTAAGTTCCATAAGTTCCAGGCCAACTGGGGTTACAGGAAGACCCTGTCTCAAAAAGACCAAAAAAAAAAAAAAAAAATCAGAATTATTTCATTGTGAGTTAGGCTTTATTCATAAATAAAAATTTTCCTAATCAGAAATCAATAACTTGTCACACAAGGAACTTTAAGAATTATATATAGTGCCTAGTATGGTGGCATACATCTTTTTTTTAATATATTTTATTATTTTTGTTTTATGTGTATGTGTGTATTGTTTGCATGTGTGTGAATGCACCCGTGTCATGTAGTGCTGCAGAGGTCAGAAGAGGGCATCAGATTCCTCTGGAACTGGAGTTAAGGGCGGTTTGTAGCCGCCATATGGGTGCTGGGAATCGAACCCAGGTCCTCTGCAAGAGCAGTCAGTGCTCTTAACCACTGAGCAATCTCTCTAGGCCCAGTGGCACACATCTTTAATCCCAGCATTTAGGAAGCAGAGGCAGGCGGATCTCTGTGAGATTGAGGCCATTCTGGCCTGCATAGCGAGTTCCAGGCCAGCTGGGGCTACAGGGAGATCCTATCTCAAAAAGACCAAAATATTTATTATATCTAATTATATTTTACTTGCCATTTATATGTATTTTAAAATCCATACGTCTAGTAGTTAATTCTTGTATTATAGCTTGTTGTAGACCTGTTCTATATTATATACTGTAACCCTATTATTAATAACAGTGTCATTAATTTCACTCATTTTCTTTATTTAGTGCCCATTTGTTCTACATTTGTAGTTGTTAGTTTCCTTTATAGTATGACTTATACTTGAAAGTAATGAAACCAGATTTCTTTATAAGTATTTATAACACAGGCCTTTTCGTAAATCAGACTGCCTCCCCTTCCCAATTATTTCTAATAAAGCCTGCTTTTATCTTTTTCTTTTTTTTTCTGCCTGTGTAGCCATATGTATTGCATGCTCCCTAGAAAATTTAATCCTCTATATTTATGCTATAATTTCCAGTTAATCAAAATCTCATAAACCACCATGTAGGCTTTAGAGTTACAAAGTGTAGAAAGTTTTGTTGCTTCTATTTTTTTGTGTTTGTTTTTGAAACAAGGTGTCCCTATATAGTCCAGGCTGGTCTTGAACTCAGTGTAGTCCAGGCTGTCCTCAAATTTGTTGTGACCCTCATGACTCAACCTCCCAAGTATTGAGGTGACAGTCATGAGTCCCCTTGCAGGCTACTTAGCCTGGAATAGATAACCACAGTTTGTTTTTTGGTTTTGTCTTGTTGGAGTTTTTGTTATTGTTGTTTCTAGCATCTAGGGATTTCAACTTTCTGACATTACAACACAGCATTGTCACCTACAAATGTGCTGGGCCTCATTGCTAACTGTCCTGGGACACATGAGGCCCATGGGGCCACAGGCTGGCCACCTGAGACTCACATGCTCACAGGGCGTGCTAAGTACATGAGTGCTCTTCTTGAGTACCAGCCTTTCTAGGAGGATCCTTTTTTGTTGGATTTTGTTCTCCATTTTGATTTTTGTAGCCTAGGGTGGCCTTTAATATCCTCCTGCCTTAATCTCTGGAGTGCTGGGATTACAGTTATGCACCACCACAGTCAGCTCAGGAGGATATTTTCTCATTAACCTATCTGTTGTTGAAAATCTTTTGAGCTGGGTATGGCTATGGTAGTGCACAAAGGAAATATTGCCACAGAAGATGCCAGCCTGGGCTACATAGTAAGTTCTAGATGAGCCTGGACTATAGACAATGGCCCTGCCTCAATTTTTTAAAGTTTATTTTGTGATTTTTTTTTTTTTTTTTTTTTTTTAAATATCGTTTGTGGGGCTAGAGAGATGGCTCAGCAGTTAAGAGCACTGGTTGTTTTTGCAAAAGACCCAGGTTCAAATCCCAGCACCCATATGGCAGCTAACAACTGTCCATAACTCCAGTCCCAGGAAATCCAACAGCCTCTTCTGACCTCCACGGCATTGCACAACATGGGTGCACTTACCTACATGCAGGCAATACACGCATACACATAAAATAAAAATAATAAAAATAAAACATTTAAAAAATTATCATTTTTATTTTATGTGTATGAGTGTATTGCCTACATGTATGTAAGAGCAGCTGGGCATGATGGCACACCCCTTTAATTCCAGCACTGGTAGAGGCAGGCGGATCTCTATGAGTTCAAGGCCAGCTGGGGCTACAGGGAGACCCTGTTTCAAAAAGACAAAAAGTAAATTAAAAACATGTGTGTAAGTGCACCCATGTTGTACAATGCCCACAAGGTCAGAAGGCATCAGATCCCCTGAAACTGGAGTTACAGACAGTTGTTAGCTGCCATGTGGATCCTAGGGACCGAACTTGGGTCCTCTGAAAGGGCAGCCAGTGCTGTTAACCACTAATCCATTTCTCCAGCCCCCAACCCCTTGTTTTTAAAGAAATGGTCTCAGACCAGGCTGGTCTCGAGGGCATGCCACTTTTGCCTCTTTCCCCTTAATACTGGGATCACACACACACACACACACACACACACACACACACACACACTCACTCACTCACTCCAAGACTTAAGATTCCTTAGTAAGATCTTAAAGTTCCCAAGATCTGCTTTACATCCTCTTTGTTCTTAAGTGAGATTGAAGCTTGCAAGTCATTTGCCCTATCTCTGTAAGGGATGCAAATTTGTAATTTCAAAAGTTCCAGCTCCCAATAAAAAAAGAAAGAGGGAGGGAGGGAGGGACTACTGAGTCATTTGCAGATTTCCTCCAAGCCAGATTTCCTCACAAATAACTCCAAAACTGTCATGTGCCAAGTTTAGAGTACTAGATTGGGTTACTCTGTAGTCAAAATAGCAAGTCCTAGTCCAGACTGCACAAGGACAGGAGCCTGTTCACTGTCCCTTTGTTCTGCCTCTGCATTCCATGGTAGCTTTCCCTTTTGTGATCTGATGGATAGTTTGCAAAAAGTAACCAGATTAGATTATTTGTAGTAAACCAACTGAGATCAATAATCCTTGACATTGACATGAAGTGTTGTAACAGAATCATAGTAACGTTTTTATTGTGCCATTGTGATTTTCTGTAGAGAAGCACTCAAGACTCATTATTTATATTTTTATATTTATAGCCCTTTCACTGTATCCAAGATTTCACTGCCAGGAACCCAGTCAGGCTTGAAGCTTTATTAGAGATCATGATCCAATCCGTGCAAACACTTCTTCAGCTCATAGTTTCTGTTCAGTCATTTGTACTGTCCAAAAAAAGTGCAGCTACCATTTATAATTATGAATGTAAATGTAAATTACCTGGGTATGACTCTCATAAGACAGAGGCACCATCTTTATGCTAAAAATTCCACAGAGTGATACTTGCAGATAGAAGACTGCCCCTTGATTCCCACATCCTCAAATACTGAATGCAGAGCTACTTTCTCTCTTAGACTGGTGGGTAAGGAAGGAGTGTCAAGCTTGGCTGGATGTTCTTGAGGATTGAGTATTACAAGAGAAGTTAGTCTGCCTTTCTTTGGCTCTCATTGCAGAAAATGAAGTCACTGCTTTTGCTGTCTTGGATCAAAACCAGAAAGAAATTGTGGACACCAATGGAGCTGGAGATGCATTTGTTGGAGGTACAAACTCACTTACTTCATGTTTACTTATAAGTTAAAAATGTTAACCCTGGTCTCCTTCTGGAAGCTGAGATTTATTCATTTAATAACCTTTAATTTCTTCTTTTAAGTAATTTACTCCCAGTGCTCTTTCCATCTGCCACTATCATTGTGAGTGTTACGAGGAGATTTTACTACAGGAAAAATATATGTTTGGCAAAGATAATTTGCTATTGTACTCTACCCCAGTCATTTTCACAAGATTAATTGTAGCTGTCAGAATATTGCATAAACAAGCTGCATCAAGTACAATAGACAGATTCATACTCTTAGACTGAAGTGTTATATAGTACCTGTGCCCAACACAGTAGTGTTTGTGATACTAGAAAGTGTTCACAATAGTGAGTGTTTGCAGTAGTAGAAAGGGTTAAATTTTTGCCCAATTCAGGCTTAGTAAGAGGGGACAAATTCGATAATGATGAAATCATTTGGGGAATAAATACTCAAAAATGAGGTCAGGATGGTAGGTTTTTGACTCAGGGATTTAGAAGGAACTAAGATCTGATTCACATTTCCTTTAATAAGTCTAAGTTACTTAAAAGTTCAGTGCGGTTAAGCCAGGTTCTAATCTCTTAGAAAGCTTTGGATTTGTGAATGTTGGCCCCCCAGGAGTCTGTCCTGGTCTCTGTCTCTTTCTTAAAACATCAATCAAGACAAGGCTAAAAAAACTTAAAAGGCCCATGGAGCCTACCACCTTCTCCTAAAGGACAGTATGAATCATGGGAAATATTTAAATTTGTGTGATGGTTTTAACTTTCTTTGAAAGTATTATTTCATTTTAATGGTCTTTCCAACAGCATAAGTCTTTCATTATTCTTTCTCTGAAGTTACTTATACCCAGTCTTACAGGTATCAGTTAGGCTGCCCGTGCCCTCTCTTCTCCCTCTTTTATCCAGTGAGCTTTTATTTTTCTTTCTTGCTTTTTTTTTTTTTTTTTTTTTTTTTTTTTTTTTTTTTTACTCTTTCTTTGTGTGCATACATATGTTACAGTGGGCAAGTAGAGGTCAAAGGACAACTTCTGGGATTCTGGGAGTTGGTTCTCTCCTTCCCCAGTGTGGGTTCTGAGGATCAGGCTTGGCAGCAAGTCACCTTTACCTGCTGAGCCAGCTCATCAGCCACCCAGCTTCTTTAGGAAAGTACATCACAGACCAATAACCTTTTTCACTCTTGTGCATGTATTTTTGGTTTCCTCACTCTGAAAGGCTTCATCATTGATAATATGAGTGATTTGCAGCTAATTTTCTTATTCCATTCTCTTCAGAGTTATAAATCTTTGTAAGCTAGAAGTATTTTGTTCAGAATTAAGCCATATTGCATAATGCATTAAGGAAACAGTAGTGATTTTCTGATTAGAAATTCGTTAAAACAAGAGTCTTAGGCCAGAAACTTGTATACTTATACCCTAGGTGTAAATTATTCAAGTACTTTAGACTCTTCAAAACTATAAGTATCTTATTTATTTGACATGTAGCAGGATGTATTAGGGTGAACTAATTCCTACCTTTGCCCTACATATGGGCTTCCTGGCCCTCCAATAACAGATTGCCCTATAGACAGCTTGCTGCCTATAGTGCTACCAATACTTAGTGAGAATAGAGAGACTTTGTGAGGGAAAAAGGGTCTATTCTTAGCATATAGAGGTAGAAACAGCTAGCTACTTTCAGAATGTGGTTAGAGAGATAAAGGCTCTATGTCAGAACAATTGGAATTTCAGTTGAAATTTTAAGCATCCCCCTCCCTTAACATTTATTTAGTGTCCACAGGCCATGGAGTGCATGTGGAGATCAGAGGACAACTTTCGGAATTGGTTCTCTCTTGCTACCATATGGGTTCCAAGGATTGAACTCAGGTTCTCAGGTTCAGTGGCAAGCACCTTTAACCACTGAGTCATCTCACTGGCCCTTAAGCCTCTTTTTATAGCCTTGTCGTACTTATTTTGGGGGTATTGTTAGGTAAATAAAAAAAGAAGGGCTACCAGGTATGGTGGCACATGCCTTTAATCCCAGCACTTGTCAGGCAGAGGCAGGTAGATCTCTGTGAGTTCAAGGCCAGCCAGCCTGGTCTACATAGTGAGTTCCAGGACAGCTGGGGCTACAGGGAGACCCTGTCTCAAAAAAAAGACCAAAAAAAAGAAGGTCTAGAGCAATGGTGCGGTAGTTAAGAGTACATACTGCTATTGCAGAGGACCCAGGTTCAGTTCCCAGCATCCATGTCAGGCAGCTAATTCCCTGTGACTCCAGCTACAGAGTATCTGACCATCCTCTTCTGGCCTTCATACACACACACACACACACACACACACACACACACAGAAATTTGCATGTGATTTTTTTTTTTTTACGTGTATGCGTGTATTGCCTGCATGTACGTAAGTGTACCCATGTTGTGCAATGCCCGCAGAGGTCAGAAGAGGCTGTCAGGTCCTCTGGGACTGGAGTTATGGACAGTTGTTAGCTACCATGTGGGTACTGGGAGTTGAACCGGGTCTTATACAAGAGCAACCAGTGTTCTTTACCACTGAGCCATCTCTCTCCAGCAACCTCCCCCCCCTTTTCTTGAAGAAGAAGAAGAAATAGGTCTTTTTGGTTTTATTTTTTGTTTTGGGGGGATTGTTGTCGTTGTTGTTGTTGTTTGAGACCATCTCAAGTAGCCCAGGTTGGCTTTGAACTTGAACTTGTTGTGTAGCCTGAACTATGGACCTCCCCTGCCTCCACCTCCTGAGTGCTAGGATTATAGGCATGTGCCACCATACCTGTTTTATGTGCTGCTGGGGATGAGATACAAGACTGTGTGCAAACAAGGTAAGCACTGTCTCGACGGAGCATCCACACTGAGACCTTTCAAAATAGTGGACCAGAGAGTGGACGATTTGGGTTTTGTAAATCATAGGCAAATTTTGCTTTCTTTCTTTTTTTTTTTAATGGCAACATTTTAAAATTGTAAAATAATGAGAAGAAGCTTTTTGGCTCTCCAGCCTGCCATATTTGGCCCAGAGACCGCTGTATGGTGACCCCCTGTAAGCATGGACAATTTTCTCACTTTATTTCATTTCTGGCTGATCTATGATCCAAGCACTGGATTTCACAACACACTGCTAAAATAAAAATAAAACAGGAAAGCTAAATATGGTGGCAGAAGTCCTTGTCTAAAAGAAACGAAAAGAAGGGGCTAGAGAGATGGCTCAGTGTTCAAGAGTACTTGCTCTTCTTCCAGAGGATCTGAGTTTGGTTCGCAGCACCCACATTGGGTGGCTTTTAACTACCTGGAACTCTAGTTTTGGGAGATCCAACACCCCCTTTTGGCCTCCATAAACACCTACATATATTCAGGCCCACACATATAAAAATTAATTTTTTTTTAAGTCTTAAAAAAGAACCAGGCAGCCGGGCGTGGTGGTACACGCCTTTAATCCCAGCACTCAGGAGGCAGAGGCAGGCGGATCTCTGTGAGTTCAAGGCCAGCCTGGTCTACATAGTGAGTTCCAGGACAGTTGGGGCTACGGGGAGACCCTGTCTCAAAAAAAAAAAAAAAACAGAACCAGGCATGATGGCACAGGCCTTTAGTCCCAGCACTCAGGAAGCAGAAGCAGGCAGATCTCTGTGAGATCGAGGCCAGCCTGGTCTACATAGCAAGTTCTAGGCCAGGTGGGTTTATAGGGAGATCCTGTCTTAAAAAAAAAAAAATGAGGAAAGTATAAGGTAGAAAGACTGAAATTAGATAAATTTTACTGATAATTTCTGAAACAGCCATTTTTCTCACTTTAAACCTGCTCTGTGTCTGGAGCTATAGGTAGAGGAATGTATCTCAGAGCACCTCAGCTAGCATGCATGAGCCCTTGGTTCAGTTCTCAATACCAGATAAAACAGGAATGGTGGTACATGCATATAACCCCAAATTCAGGAGTTGGTATCAGGGGGACCAGAAGTTCAGGGTCATCCTTCACTACATAGTGAGTTCAAGGCCAGCCTGGGCTACTTAAGACTGTCTTTTAAAAGAAAGAAAATAAAGCCTACTCTGATGAGTTCCCAGGACAATCATATGAAACACTAGGTCATAAATTGAGACAATTTATAATAATACCTTTATAATAATTTATAATAATACCTTAATGTTAGGTATTAGTGGAATATTTATGTGGCATATATGGCACATTCTATGAGTCATAGTCTTTCTGTAGTTGTTTTGAGGTGCTGGGTATCCAACCCAGAGCCGTATGGAAACTAGATAGCTCTGTCACTGAGCTATATTCTGGGAACTTGATTTTGCATTTTCACATCCATTTATTTTGTGTATGTACATGGCACACACATGTCATTGCACACATGTGGAAGTCAGAGGACAGCCTGCAGAAGTCAGTTCTCTCCACCACATTGGTTCCAGGGATCAAACTCAGGTGGTCAGACTTGGCACCAAGTACCTTGAGCCACTAAGCCATCCTGTAGGCCCCTAGACCTTGTTTTTTGTTTTGTTTTGTTTTGTTGTTTTTTGTTTTGTTTTTTTGGTTTTTTTTTTTGAAGCAGGTCCTTACTATGTAGCTCAGGCTGCCCTTGAACTCACTATGTAACTCAAATTGGCCTAAAATTTGCAAGCCTCCAAGAAATATTATTTTTAATCCTGTTTTACTAATGAGAAAAGTAAGTAAAGAGAGAGGAGGGTGCATGCCCACATCTAAAACTCCAGAGTCACAGAGCCAGGTTTCAAACATAGGCAATCTATGCTTAGATTCGATGTTTCTCCAATGCAGTCACTGCACTGCGTGCTTCTAGAAACATAATTTCAGAGAGATCTCATCATTAAAACTAAGAGCCACAGACCAGCTTTCCCAACAAAAGCTGGTTTTGCTAAAGACAATCCAAATAAATGGCTTCATTTACTGAAGGGGCGCTTTGGCCTCAAGGTAAGTTTGTTGTATCAAAAAAACTGAAAGGATAGAATCAAGGACTGCAGTCTGGTGAGTTTGA